TTTCGGGCCTAGACCCGAAACGTCAGCCTTCCTGCTCCTATGATGCTGCTTGGCCTGCTGTGTTCATCCAGCTGTACACCTTGTTGTCTCAGAGTCTAAAATGTTGTAACACATGTTGAAACCTATTCAACAATGTGCACACACGAATCAGTTTTCTCCTTTCCTGCCTACCCTTCTTCTTTAGGTTTACTTGGACATCTTCACTTGTGTTTATAACACTTGCAGAATGGCAAAAGCATAAATTACTGAAGTGAGTGACGATTTGTCCAACAAACATTAAACAATGCATCTGTTTACTATTGTAAATGAACTAATTAACACGAGTCACAGTCATAGAAACAGGCCCTTTGGTCCAACTCGTCCATGGTCACTAGGTTTCCTAAACTGAACTAGTCTCTTTTACCTGCATGAAGACCATATCCCTCTAAACCTGTCCTATCTACGTACCCGTTCAAACGTCTTTTATATGTCGTAATTGTACCCGCTTCTACCACTTCCTCTAGCAGCTCATTCCACAAATGCATCACCCTCTGCATGAAAAGGCTGCCCCTCAGGTCTCAAATCTTTCTCCTCCCACCTTATACCTATGCCCTTGAGATATGGATTCCCCTACTTGGGGAAAAAACCTTGGAAATTCACCTCACCCACAGCACAGAAAAAGACTCTTCAGCCCATCGTGGCCACACTGGTCAAAAACAAATCACGTAACTCTTATAAACCCACTTTTTCAGCACTTGACCCATCAACTTGCTCACAAGTACACATCTAAATACTCTTAAAAGTAACGAGGATTTCTACCTCTACCACACAGGCAGATTTCCAGATCCCCACCACCCTCTGGGTGAAAAGGTTTTTCATCATCTCTTCGAAAACTTCTGCCCCTTCCCTTAAACGTGCGCTTCCTGGTCATTGATCTCTCCATTGAGGACAGGACTTTCTTCCTGTCTACCCTATCAATGCCCCTCAATTTTGTGCAACTGAATCATATCTGCTAAGGAAAACAAGACCAGACTCTTCAATGTCATAACAAACTCTCCAGCCCAGGCAACATCCTGGTAAAGCTCCTGTGCACCTTCTCCAGTGCAATCATAGCTCTCCTATAATGTGGATTCCAGAACTGCACATATAACACTAACTTGTGGCCTAAACACTTTTTAACAATTCCAGCATAACGTTCCTGCTCTTAAAGAGAAAAGTATCCAGTATGCCTTCTTCACCACATTATCCACCAGCCCTGATACCTTAGGAGACTGGCATGCATGCACACCAAGGTCCCTCTGATCCTTGGTGCTTCCCAGGTCCTATTTTTCATCATGTATTCCTTTCTTTTATTAAGGATAGTCCCCTTCTTCTGTCTCCCTCTGTTGCAATTCTACCACCCCCACCCCTTTTTAACTACCTAAGGAATTGGGAAGGAGCCAGGTCACGACCTGGAACCATGTGGCAGGCGTGGGCCATGTCCTGCAGCAAAAGTGGATCAAGCGTGGGCCAGTGAGGCAGCAGCGGCAAGAGCAAGCCAGTGAGGCAGCCAAGAGTGGGCCAGTGAGGTAGCCCAGAGTGGGACACTGGCAGTGACAGTAGGCTGGAAAGCCCGAAGCTGGACTCTGGTGAAGGCATGTAGAGTGCTGGAAAGACCTCAATGGGACTGCAGCAATGGAAAGAAAAGTTGGATTCTCTCAAGTTGGTTTTTTTCTTATCTTATTCTAAGTTAATGTGAATGACGCCACGTGTGGTACACATTTTTCACAGTATATTTACGTTGAATACACGTGACAATAAGTGATTCAATTCAACTCAAAACTACACATTATTACAAACCAAATGGTGTTAGGTGAATGAAGTAGAGAAAAAAATTGAAGAAAAATTTCTTTTAAAATGCAAAATGATTTGGATAGGCATTTCAAAGAAACAGAAAATTAGAGGGGCCTTTTGGACCTTCAAGCCTGCTCAATCATTCAATATGTTCATTGCTGCTCTTATAACTTAGTATTATTCCTATTCTTGCTTTCTCCCTACACATAGGAACACAAGTAAACTATTCTGCCCATCAAGCCTGTACCACCGTTTAATGAGATCATTGTTGATCTGTGGCCTTGACCAATATCCCTTAATATATTTGCTCGGATTTAAAGTTAACAACTCATCCAGAATCTACTGCCATTTGTGGAAGTATATTCCAAACATCTCCCACCCGCTTATGTTGAAATGCTCCCTATCATCTCTCCTGAATGGTCTGGCCCTAATTCTCATATTATGTTGCCTATTTCTAGAATTCCCAACCAGTGGAAACATTTTCTTTTTATCTACCTTGCCTTTTCCTATTAATATCTTTAAGACTTTGATCAGATCACTTCTTAACCTTCTAACTATACCATTTGATCCCTTTAGCCTCAAGAACTATATTTAACTCCTTCTTGAAAATATATAATATTTTGACTTCACCTGAATTCTGTAGCAGAGAATTCTACAGCCTGACCACTCTGTCATTGAGGAAATTTCTCAGTGTCCCAATGGCCTAACCCATCTTCTTAAACTATGACCCCAGGCATGGGCATCCCAGTTATCTGGAACATCTTTCCTGCATTTACCTTGACTAGTTGTGTTAGAGTTTTATAGTTTTTATAACATCCTCCTTCATTCTTCTGAACTCCAGTGATTACACGAGCAAATTACTGGTGTTGGAATTTGAAGCGAAAACAAAATATGCTGGAGATCACAGCGGATCAGGCAGCATCCATGGAGAAAAAGCAAGCTAACATTGAGTCTTGATGATTCTTCAGAGTGTTCAGGTCTGATAAAGAGTCATCTAGACTCAAAACGTTAGTTTGCTTTCTCTCCATGGATGCTGCCTGACCTGCCGTGATCTCTAACATTCTCTTTTCAATCCACTGAACATAATCCTAACTGGTCTAGTTTCTTTACATATGTTAGTCTTGCCATCCCAGGAATCAAATCTGTTAAACCTTTGTTGATTGCCTTCCATAACCTTCCTCAGATAAAGGAGATCAAAGCTGCAAACAATACTTCAGCAGTGGTCTTACCAGGGTCCTGAACAATTTCAACAAAACACCCTTGCTCTTATACTCTCACCATGAAGGTCAACACATCATTTGCCTTCTTCACTGCCTGCTGTACTTGCATGCTTACTTTCAGCAATTGGCGTAGAGGTCACCCAGGTCTTGTTGCACTTCCCCCGTTTCCCAAAATATCAACATTGAGATAATAATATGCCTTCCTGCTTTCGATACCAAAGTGGTTAACCTTACATTCATCCACGGTATACTGCATCTGCTACGTATTTGCCCAAATCACACTGAAGCACAATGCTGCATCCGCCCACCCTGCTTTGTGTTGTCTATAAACATGAGGTATAACATTTAGTTCCCTCTAGGAGGTACTATGTTTGAAAGTACAGCTTCCTGTTTTGGGAAGCGGGAGAAAGATAGAGTACAGCAATCAAAACCAATGGAGGGTGCAAGACGGGAGAAATGACTGGAAGATATTTTACCTAACAAAATATGGTGAGGCTGTAGAAGTGAATGAGGACAAGAATGGTATGTGTCCAAAGTAGGCCCAGGCCAGAGAGAGCTGTGGATTAGGTAAAATACACAAAGGTTAGAGATTCATGAAGAAACTGTTTCAGAAATTTATTTTTTTTTAGGAGAGAAGCAACAGAATGAATGCTTCTACCACTCGATCAAGTCTTTTGGCAATGCCCTAAAATAGTTACTGCATGTGCACGTAAACAGACACAGTGAATGACCTGACACCTTTCTATTTGCTTTTCTACAATTCTGGTTATGAGGAAATGTTGAGCAGGAAAGCTCTCTAATACAGTCAGATTCATACCGCACGGCAACAGACCTTTCGGACCAACTTGTCCACGCCGAATATAACCCCAAACTAAACTGATTCCATCTGCCTGCTCTAGCCCATATCCCTTCAAACCTTTTCTGTTCATGTACTTATCCTAAAGTCTTTTAAAATGTTGTAACTGTGCCCACATCCACCATTTTGTCAAGAAGTTCATTCTACACATGAACCACCCTTCTGTGTAACCATTTGCTCCTCAAGTCTTTTTTTTAAAATCTCTCGCCTCTCACCTGAACACTGTAGCCCCTGGTCTTGAAACCCCCCATCCTATGGAAAAGACAACTACCATTAAATGTTTAGCACTCATTATTTTATGAACTTCTATAAGATCACTTCTCAATGTCCTATGCTCCAGTCAAAACAGTCCCAGTCTTAACAGTCTTTCTTTATAACTCAAACCTTCCATACCCAGCAACATCCTGGTAAATTTCTTCTGAACCCTCTCCAGCCTGATAATATCCTTCCTATAACTGGGTGACCAGAACTGGACACAGTATTCCAGAAGAGGCCTCACCAATGTCCTATACAACCTCAACATGACTTCCAACTCCTCTACTCATTGGTCTGAGCAATAAAGGCAAGCATGCCAAATTATTTTTTAACCATCCTGACGTGTGAAGCAAACTTCAAAGAATTATATACCTGAACCCCTAGGTCCCTCTGTTCTATAACACTACCCAAGGCCCTACCATTAATTGTATGAAGCCTACCCTTGTTAGTTGAACCAAAATGCAGTACTCTTTAAATAATACTTAATAGAGCAAGAAATTAAGTCTCAGTTGAATGTCTTACCAAAAAAAGTCATTTCTCACAAGGTTACAAAACATGGAAGGTAGTTGGAGCAGACTGAATAAACAAAGGGCATATGTAGGCAATTTGCTCATGACATTTCAGAGAGGAGGTAAAAGATCATGGTGCAGTTGACGTGGATGGAGGAGCTAACAATGGCAAAGGTAGAGACATCAATGGTTAAGAAGGATAGTGAACCAAAATTACAGTTATACAGCTTGTCATTGTTGCCACTGACTCAGGTTGATTCTCTCCACTACAAAGTCAATTTGAGGAAATTTGACACATACATTGCAAATAACATACAAGATTACGTGAAGTTAGCTGGCAATGGCATTTTATTTAAGAGGAGAAATAATGAGTTTTAGGATTGCTGGAAAAAGACATGCCGTTGAAACTTTTTAGAAGTTTTAATATTATGACAGTAGTTTTGAAACAGTCAGGAACAATTTCTAAAGAAAATGTCAATACTGTTGGCAAGACTAGGATCTAGAAAGGGCAACAGTTTAAGGAAGTTATAATAATGGTATTTTGTTATAATAACAACTTATTCAAGACTACCCTAAAGGCTGAATTTCAATACATCAAAACATTTTGGCAAAGGCTGAGTAATTATGGTAAAAACATACGAACAGTAACAATCATGTCATTACAAAAACAGACAAACAAATTCAGCAGGTTGACTGAGAAATGTTGAAATGGAGAATAAAAGGGTCAAACTGAATGAAAATAATAAAATTAAAAAAACAAAGCAGCACTTCTACATTACAAGGTACTGAAGTCTATGTAAACTTCAAGTACTTCGCTGAGAACCCAAATCATATAAGGAAAAGAACTACACCAGTATCTTTCAGCCCTGCATTTTACAGGGTCACATTTAATGAACTTGGAATTGCTTCGATTGATCTGGATGTAATAGGTGTAACCAATTCTGAAAATCAGCAGACTATAGAAGGGATTTTCCAAGCTTAATACAAACATTAACTTTCCATGTTTGTAGAATTTCAAGCTTTGAAACATGAACAGCAGTAGTTCAACTAATCTGGGCGACTTGCACGGATGCCACCCAGGCACAGCACATATGAACAAAGAACAGATGCAACCCAGCAGCATAGACCAACAACAGCTCACAGACAGTCTGAAACGATTGAGGGATCCGAGGATGAACACCCAATTATCTTTTTCTTAAAGCACGGCTATCTTACTGCTAGAGTATTACACCCAGGGCTCAAGGCTTCCATCTCAGTCAGGGCACGGAACATGTGCTCATGTCTACCGAAGTCTATTTGCATTGCATAAATTAGATTTAACTGGGTACTCTTAAAAGTGAGTGGGTTAATTTCAGTCAGCAAATGAGTTAGATGCACACAGTAAAGGCAGCTGGAGGAAGCTTTATGGTGTAAAAAGGAAAGAATTGAGTTTTGTTTTGAAAAGGTGACAGGTAGGATCGGGGGAAAATATTGGTGAAACTAGTTGCAATGATGAGTCTGAGATAGTGCAGACTTATAATGGAGGGCAAGAACAAACAGGAAAATCTGACTGCTGAGCTGGAAAAGCATCTTCAATTCAGACACATCTGGCAGTTGACAGCTATAGCACATACAGTTTAGTGTAGAGCCCCCACAATGAGTCCAAAGAGGTGGCTGTCCCATTAGGAAATTAAAATTCAGTACTTGCTGTTAGGGATGCGGACAATTACTAAACAGTTCAGAAACCAACAGGTAGTGAACAGAAGCAGAGGCGTCTCCAACAATTGTCCAATGAGATTTGGGAGGCGATGCTTTCCCTCCCTTAGGAGCAGAACTAAAATGTCCGTAAGAAATAGGAACAGAAGTAGGCCATTCGACTCCTTGAGCCTATTCCACCATTCAGGAGGATCATGGCTGTTCCAACATTCCTCACATTCACTTTCCTGCCCTTTTCCCCTAACTCTCAATTCCCCAACTGATCATCTGGTGAAAAGTTGCAGACCTGAAATGTTAAGTTTCTTTCTCCATTAACACTGCCTGACCTGCTGAGTATTTCCAGCATTTTGTTTTTATTTTAGAATGCTTAAAATAAGCAGGATGAAAAGCAAGAAATAGCTGGAAATGGAGCATAGGTTTTATCAGCAAACAAGATTCTAGAAGGAACAGAGCCTAGAGACAACAGTGGGGAATTATTAATTATGGAGAATTTAAGGGAGGTACAAAAGGACAGAGATCACAAGGGACAGAAAGGGGCAAATTTGAAAAATGCCACAGAATTAATGCTCATTCTGCAGGCCAAGCAAAGACTAAAGGTAAGTTCAAATAGAGAAAAGGATACAAAAGAAGTGGTGCTTGCAATGGTAATTACAATTTCAATTCCTTCTTCCAAACATCAAAACACAGATCAAAATCCATCCTGGAGAAGAGTACCACACTGCATTCATGTTGTTCAGCTGGGGGAATGTGTAGGCAGAAAGTGGTGTTGTCAGGAAACTTAGGAGGTGAAAGATAGGGAAATGAAAAGTTCATCCACTTAGGTTCAGAATTTAAAGCATTTTCGACTTGATAAAATTGTGAATTGAAAAGTGTGTTTGTAAGCAGTTTACATTTCACATGATGAGAGAGATGGGGAATGAGTAGCAACAGACTTGCGAGGAGAGTGAAAATGTCAGAGAACGTGGGGAAGCTCACTAGTGAAATCAAAGAAAACATGAACAGTGAAGGTGGGAATGGCAAATGGATTTCAGACTTGGGCCCCAAGGTACAACGAACATGGTTAGCCAGTCAAATTGCTGTCTGAAGCCAACACGAAGACGATGGACAAGTTTGAATCAAAACATCATTCACAAGTAGATAATTTTAAAATCAATTAGAAGATTGTTTTAATTTTGAAATGATCAGGGAATTAGTTTTTTTTTTTACTGTGAAGCGTTACTTGATGCTGTACTCCAGGAAATACATTATTTCAATATCATTAGGGCATTGATTACAGAATTTACTACAATTTCACATTAAAGTTGTACCTTAATGTTTTTTTAAATAACGTACTGAAGTTTCTAGAAGTTGAAATCTGAAATAACTATTAGATATACCTGTCACCAGTGTGACACCCTGTAAAATCCAAGACAGTTGAGATGCACAAATGATAAATTTTGCAAGATGAAAACCATCTTGAAGTATTGCCCTTTTGCTTATAATTTGAACCTGACTCTTAGAGAGGGGATTCTATTTTGTGGTAGGAAATTTAAGTTAATTTAACATGCTTTGTTACTAAAACAAACTAGTATAACTTGACCGACATTTAATTTTACTTTAAAATCAAAGACAATGAACTTTGCTAATCATGATGGAAACCTCTGAACTGACACCAGAAGTTGGTAGAATAAAGTACAAAGAACTCACTGCAGAAATGTGTTGAGAAAATGAAAATGTATTAAAACAACAACACTTCAGACTCCAACAAGGTGAGATAAACCTGAAAGCAACAAACTTTGCATCTACAATTCTCACCACAGTGGATCCTTAAACTGAACTGCATCCACATAAACAAATACAAAGCACAGATTTTGTACTTTTTAATATGAAGAGGGTGAAACAGAGTAGGAAGACATCGGAAGTTGCTATTATCCCACACAATTATGTGACTAATAAGTTAGTTCAGTTGGCTGGATGGCTGGTTTGTGACACAGAATAATGTCAAAACAAGATCCCCACACCAGTTGAGGCTACCATGAAGGTCCTTCCGTCTCAACTTCACCCCTTGCCTGAGGTGTAGGGACCTTCAGTTTAAACACACCACTAGTCATCTCTCATGACAGAGGAACCCTATGGTCCTCTGGGATTATGGCAATTTTACCTTTACCTAAAGATATAATGACAGGAAATAAATTCCTGGGGATATCAACAAAAGATTCATGAAGTAGAAAAAGAATACAGCTCTTCATATTTATGAAGACAAATAAAGGGAAACATAGAAAACTGCTCGTTAATGACACATGATGTTAATCAGTAAGACGACAATAATGGTGGAAAGTGTGAGCAGAGAAGTTGTAATCAATTAAGAGTTTTGTTTGACATAGAATATATTTACAACCTGCAACTGAGGTATGTATTATTCAGCCTCTACAGCTCTGGTCCAGAATATATAAAAGATGCACGTGCAGCAGGGTTGGGTTAGTGGAGTTTCCGCCTCACTCCCCTCCAACCCATGCGGCACCAGCCAGCTCTGTTACCTTCCCTCCTCCCTTCTCTACACCACCCTCCCGCTCTATCACTTACACATAGGGGCAGTCAACCCACCCTTCCCTTCCCTTCCCTTCCCTTCCTATGCACACAGATGCAGTCACCTCCCACACAGTCGCAGTTACCAAATCCCCTCCTACTACCCTCACACAAGGGTAGTGACTGCCTCTCCGCCGGTTCCCTTCCTTGTATTCACCGGGCGGATGGTCTTGTGTCGGCCGAGCCGCCCGCTGCCGCGGAGTTCTCACTCACCACAACGTGCGATCCGTTGAGCTTGAGGGGCTTGGGGCTGATGAGTGGGGACACCATGTACAGGAGCAGAACGAAGGCCACGATGAAGGCCCCGACTACCAGCAACATGACGAGCAGCAGCGGCCTCCAGCCTGAAAACTCACTCCACAGAGTAACACCCTCCTCCAGAAAAAACATTTAAACCAGTCGGCGAGCGCTCCCACTGATGGAGAGACGGAGAGGAGGAGCTGCGGTTAATGGAAAAGCCGCCAGCTAGAATAGCAAACAACATTAAAGTTCACAGCAAGACACGGGCGCTGTCAGCCGACGGCCAGGGTGGGGGGGGGGGGGGGGGGGGGGGGCGGGGGCCGTAGTGGGCTGAGGGTGTGGCCGAGCGCGTTAGAGCGCCGGTGGGTTGGGGGCGGGGTCAGGGGCGAAATGGGTAGGGTCGCAAGGCAAGTGGGCAGGTCTGGACGTGGCTGGGTGATGTCGGGGAAGGGTAAGGGTGGCGGCTGGCGGAGGTGGGAACGGAGCCAGAAGTGGGACCTAGCGAGCATGTGCCCGGTTTTGTAGACGGGGTGGGCGGAGCAGGAAAGAGGGAATGGCGTTTGAGGGGGTGAGGGGCGGTTAATGGCACATGCGCACTTCTCTCTGTCTAGGGAGCGCCGGAGGTCAGTTTTTATTTTAATCGGTTGATGAGTTACAGACTTCAAAGCGGCTGTATAGGTGTATTAATATTAAACAGGCGGTTGAATTACGTTTAAGTAAGTTTAATATTAAGGTTACAACGTTACTAGTTATTTTTAAATCAACTAGTTCACACAAGTGAAAAACACTTGTAGTGTTTGAACTTGGACCTTTTGTTTGATAGGTGAGAACATTAGCCCTGTTCCATAAAACTAAAATATCGGAAATTCATTTGTATGAGGCCTGAAGGTTATGTGTCTGTCTCGAGGCTGTTGATGCTGGTCACTATTTTGAAATCAAACAGCCCAACCAACTGATTCCCAACAAACAAACATAAGAGTCATACAGCACGGAAACAGACTTTCGGTCCAAACTGTCCATGCCAAACATAATCCAAACTAAATTAGTCTGAGATAGTAGGAACTGCAGATGCTGGAGAATCCGAGACAACAAGGTATAGGGCCGGATGAACACAGCAGGCCAAGCAGCATCATAGGAGCAGAGAGGCTGACGTTTCGGGCCTAGACCCTTCATCAGAAATTAGTCTGACCTGCCCACTCCTGACCCATATCCCTCTAAACCTTTCCTATTCATGTTCTTATTCAAATGTCTTGTAAACATTATAATTGTACCCACATCCATCACTTTCTCAGGAAGCTCATTCCACACGCGAACCACCCTCCGTGTAACAAAAAAATTGCCTCATGTCTTTTGTAAATCTGTCACCTTAAAAATGTGCCCCTAGTCTTGAAATCCCCCATCTTGGTGAAAAGACAACTACCATCAACTCTATCTATATCTATATCTCATTATTTTATAAACTTCTATCAGGTAACCTCTCAACCTCCTATGCTCCAATGAAAACAGCCCTGGCCTTTCATTATAACTCAAACCTTCCATACCCAGCAACATCCTGGTAAATCTCTTCTGAACCCTCTCCAGCTTGATAATATTCTTCCTGTAATTGGGCGATTAGAACTGGACACAGTACTCCAGAAGAGGCCTCACCAATGTCCTATACAACCTCAACATAACGTCCCAACCCCTATACTGAGCAATGAAGGCAGGCAAGCCAAACTCTTTTTTAACCATCCTGTCTATAAGTGATGCAAACTTTGAAGAATTATGTACCTGCACCCTGTTCTACAATACATAACCATTTTAAAACTAATAGAAATATGATCGCTAAGATCCAAAGTGTTCCCCCACTTTTACTTCAGACATCTGCCCTGCCTTATTGCCTGAAAGAAGGTCTAGTTTTGCTCCTTCTCTAGTAGGAGTAACCACATATTGATAAAGAAAATTTTCTTGAACACATTTGACAAATTCTTCACCTTTCAAACCTTTAACACTATGTTGGTGTTCAGAAAATTAAAATCCTCCATTATTACAACCTTATTATGCTTGCATACATCTGATATCCCTACATATTTGTTTCTCAATTTCTCTCTTACTATTAGGGGAGTCTATAGTACAATCCCATCAAAGTGATCTTTCCTTTCTTACTCGTAATTTCTACCCAAATAGTTTCACAGGACAATTTTTCAGAAATAGCTTCCCTAGTTACAGCAGTAATGTATTCCTTAATCAAAAACGCCACTCCATCCCCTCCCTTCTTGCCTCCTTTTCAATCCTTCCTGTAGCATCTAATACCCAGAACGTTGACCTGCCAGCCTTGTCCATCTTTCAACCAAATTTCTGTAGTAGCTATGACGCCCCAATCCCATGTTCTTAAACATGCCCTTGGTTCATCAGCCTTACCTGTAAGACCCCTTGCATTGAAATAAATGCAATTTAATTCTTCAGACTTACGATATACTCTGACTCTCTCTTGTCTTCCTTTTCTAATTGATGTGCTCTCCTCACATTCAGAACCTACCCCATCAAACCTTCCATTTACACTGCTACTTAAGAATTACTCCACTCGCCTTCTCTGTCAGTATAAAGTCTCCCATAATAGAATGAACAAATCTCCCTGCTGAGATATTGGTCCCTTTCCAGTTTAGGTTAGAGCAATTCTTTTTGAACAGGTCTTTTCTATCACAAAAAAAGCTTGAATCCCTGAACACACACCAGCTCTTCAGCCATTGATTTATCTCCTTTAACTTTTTGTTTCTTCCTTCGCTTGAGTTTGGCATTGGGAATAAACCAGGAATTATTACTTCTAAGGTTTTATTTTTTAACCTTCTACTTAAACTCTTAAATTCATTCTGAACTGCTTTAATCTTTTCCCTAACAATGTCATTCCTGCCAATATATACAATAATTTCTGGCTTTTCAATCTCACCTTTAACAATATGCTTGAAACGTTTAGAAATGTCTTTAATTCTAGTACCAGGAAAGCAACAAACCATCCTAAATGTATGCTCACTGCCACAGAATCGTCTGTCGATGCCTCTGACAGGCAAGTCCTCTATAACAATAATTCTATTAAATCTTGTCAAACGCTGCCTAACATAAGAATCATTCCAAATGTCCAATAACTGACTTGCCTTTCCATTTTTCTTCGAGAGATTATCCCCTTCAACAGTTCCAAAAACTGAATATCTATTTGATAAAGGAATAGCTACTGGAGACTAAAGACCATGACAATCCTGGTAATGGATTTGTGTGTTACTCTGCAATACTGCAATGGTCAAATATGAAAATGCAATCTGGACTCTGCAAAAACTCATCAGAAAACAGTTAAATGCGCAAATTGCAAACAATGCCACATTTGATCATTTTTCATAATCCATAATGTCTAGCAATGATGCAGTTTTCTGCAGACCAAAGTTAAATGGTGTTATCCTTCTGGGCCTGCCTTCAGCCTTTTACATTGTTGACCACACCATCCTCCACCAACACATGTTCATTATGGTCAGTTCCATTTTTATTTATCCGCCGTAGCTAGAAAATCTCTTGTAATGGCTTCTGTTTCTGCTTTTAGACCATTATCTCTGGTTTCCTCAAAAAAATCTGTCCTTGCCACACACCCATCCCCAATTTCTCACCTATATATTATCCTTCAACAACATCATCCAAACAGCAGCATTAGTGTGAACGTGTACATATGTATGAAACCTAAGTCTATATTCTTTACTCTTGCTGATTTATCAGGCTGCTCATCCTACTCCAAGTGCTGCAACTGTCTGAGGTGAAGCAGCCGGTTTGTAACTTTTGTGTCATATTTAATCCTGAAGTGAGGTTCTGGTATTTGTGCCATCACTAATTCTGGCTATTTCAGCCCCTTTATCTGTGTCTCAGCTCATCTATTTTGTTGAATACCTTATTCATACCGTTGTTGCTTCCAGACTCAATTATAGAGTCATACAGCATGGAAGCAAGCCATTTGGCCCGACTCACCCATGCTGACCAGTTTCCCTAAACTGAACTATTCCCATTTACCTGCATTTGGCCCAAATCCATGTAAAATATTTCTATCCTTGTACCTGTCCAAATGTCTTTTGAAAAATTGTAACTGTACCTGTATTATAATTATAATTAGAATTGGCTTTATTGTCACGTACTCACATGAGTATGGTAAAAAGTTTACAAGTTGCCACTTACAGCGCCATCTTAGTTACCAAGGTACCTAAGTACACAATTTAAGTACAAATTCTCGGGAAAAAAATTTAGAAAAATGAAGAAATAAAATGTCCAGCAATAAATTAGAAAAATAGAGAAATAAGAGGTCAGAATAACTGTCCTTCCAACCCAGACCACACCGGGCTTCACCTTGAGGCTGGGAGTGCCGCGAGTCTGAGTCCACACTGAGGTGGGAAGGCCAGGTTAGCTTTCACTCCGAACACCATTGATGCCGCCAAAGGATGGGATGTAAAAAAAAAACAAAATCCTAAAAGAGAAAGAAAGAATAGAAATGAACAGAGCAGATGAGCTCCTGTTCAGAGGTCCTCCTTCACAGCCATCAACCACTTCCTCTGGCAGTTCATTCCATACATGCACCAACCTCTGGGTTAAGAAGTTGCCCCTCAAGTCCATTTTAAATCTTTCCCCTCTCACCTTAAATCTATGCCTTTTAGTTTTGGACTCTCCTACCCTGGGTAAAAGACCTTGACTATTCACCGTATCAATGCCCTCACGATTTTATAAACTTCTATAATGTCACCCCTCACTCTCCGATGCTCCAGGGAAAAATATCCCAGCCTATCTAATCTCTTCTTACAACTCAAACCTTCCGGTCACGGTAACATCTTTGTAAATCTTTTTTGCACCCTTTCTAGTTTAATAACATTCTTCTGATAGCAGACAACCAGAATTGTTCAACCAAAATTGAACAGTACTCCAAACGTGGCCTTACCAATGACTTGTATAGCCACGATGTGGAGGTGCCGGCTTTAGACTGGGGTGGACAAAGTCAGAAGTCACATGACACCAGAGTATAGTCCAACAGGTTTATTTGCAACCACAAAATTTCAGAGTGCAGCCCCTTCATCAGATGAAGTCAAAATAGGACAGTAATGAAGGTTTTACAGATACAGAACAGTGTGGTGGGGTCATGTGTGGCCCAGCATGAACCCAAGATCACTGTTGAGGCCGTCTTCATGGGTACAGAACTTGGCTTTCAGTTTCTGCTCGGTGATTCTGCGTTGTTATGTATCTCGCAGTTCACCTTGGAGGATGCTTACTCGAAGATCAGAGGCTGAGTGTCCTTGACTGCTGAAGTGTTCCCCGACTGGGAGGGAACATTTCTGTCTGGCAAGTGTCCATTCATCCATTATAGTAGTGTCTGCATGGTCTCACCAACCTACCGTGCCTTGGGGCATCCTTGCTTGCAGTGTGTGAGACAGACAACATTGGCCGAGTATCACATGAGTATCTGCCATGCATGTGGTGGGTGGT